GTTGAGTCTTGAGTTTTAGACATATGAATTCACATATCACATGTCGCATTTACATTACATCTGCATGACTTTCTTAAGAAAATTGCACGCCTAACTGAATAGAGCAACAATAAGTATAAACTTTATGCTGACTCTAAACGACAATTTAAATCTATTAAAGTTGGTAACTCAGTAATGGTGCGGATTCGTCTGGGAAATTACATGCTAGAAGTGCAGATCATTTAGAATAGTCAATAGAATTCTATAACAACGCTTGCGTGGTGGATCTGCTTGCAGAATTCAACATTTATTCCTTTTCTAACATAAAAGCTTTAGTAGACTTTGAAGGTCCGGAGTTAAACCCCCAAATCCAATTCAAATTAAGCCTTGTGTGACCCCACCTTGTGAGAACCCCAAAGCCTACCTCCACCCCCAAAATTATTTCCAAAATTCCTATAGTGGAGGTTGACATGATTCCTAGTGATGATATTATTGCCACAAAAGAGGGTGGACAAAGAAGATGCTTGACTAGGTGAAGAAGTGAACCAAAGTCAGAGGGTACGTGGTCAGAGTGCGAGGAGCTACAACAGATAAACCCAGATGCACGAGGAGTTTTCGAAACACCAACTCGACGGAGTCGAGTTTTCTCCCACCTGGGGAGAATGATGAGGACATCGAAGATCAACGGCTACGATCATGTTTACTTATCTTGATGTATTTTATTTGTTATTTGTATTTTTCCCTTTCTACCCTCACTTGAGGGTTTTGTCTTATGTGGCCCTAAGGGCAATTATGTCTTTTACTTTTTTCCTTCATGTATTTGGCTATTTAAGCCTTCCCCTTCCTCTTGGAAAGGATGATGATTATTGAATATGAAATTTTCAGCTTGTGCTTATGGATCTCTTTGTGAGTTCTAAGTTTTCTCTCTTGGGATGATCTCTTAGTGAGTTCGTGAGAGGAGAGGCCCAAGTGGGGCAAAAGCAATACCCGTCAATCTTGGTGGATTCCAAGGTTCGCGGTTCTCTTATCTTTCTTGTTCTTTTATTTTCTTCTTGCATCAAATTTCCTCCTCCACCCAATTCATCTTCTAGCTCCACTGCCTAAATCCCAATTCTCCTTATCCCCCATTACCCGCCGGCCTGCAGGCCTTGCCGTCGCCACCCCTCTAATCCGCCCAGACCGCCGGCCACCAGGCCGCCACCTCCCGCCGGCAAGCCAACCTCCACACCGTGGCCGTCCCCTTGCCACCCTCCTCTAGCCGCCGGCCCCCCTTCCTTTGAATTTCAAATTTGAAATTCCAAAGTTTTATGAACATTAAATGTTTCCTAATTTTTCTCCCTAATTCATGCAATCAATTTATTTGAATTTCAATTTCGAATTTGAAATTCAAATTAATCCAATTGATTGTCTTCATATTAGTAAACTCATCCTCTTTAGAAAACTAAAATTTAATTTCAGATTTTTGTTAAAACTGAAATTAAGATTGTGGTCCCAACCTCATTAATACCCAACCCCTCTCCATTCCTCTCTCCTTGGCCGGCCACCATATCCCCCATTTAATTAATTAGATCCCACAAATTTAGGATCTAATTAATTCAATCCCCTCCACACTTTCCCTCCTAAACTCCACAAATTTCAAATTCAAATATCTAAATCAATTGCTCCATAATTACTCCCTAAATCTGAAATTAATTTCAGATTTCCCCCCTATGCTCCTCCTCAACTAAATGCCGCCCAAACCTGAACCGAAATCAAAGGGAATTGACTCCAGGTTCCCTCCTTTGTTATCCCCACAACTTTCCACCCTCCCTTGTCATGCTCACGTGCACCCAATAGGAGGAACGAGCTGAATTTCATCTCCCAAACGGGCTGCCAAGATTTTTGGACAGAGTCAAGTTGCTGTCTCGAAATTTTGCTGAATCTTGCACGGCATCCAGGGATCTCCAGCCAAATAACTTGCTGCCCTGCATCCTAGAACATAGCTAATTGCTGTCCAGAAGCTCCAGATGTCCCACAGCAGCTGTCCAAGGTCTTCCTAGGCCTTATAGGTGGATGTCCAATTGCTGTCTAGAATTTGGTAGTCCAGAAAACTGCTGTCCAGCATCCTTGAGAATCAAAATTGCTGTCCGGAATCTGCTCCAGGTCACCTGCTTGCTGTCCAAAGACTCCAACAAAGATTGTGGCTGTCCAAGTCATCCAAGAAGCTGTCAAGCACCACCTACTTGTGATCCAACCAATGAAGCATCACCAGAACGTTGTATTACTTCATCCCTTGGGTGAAACTCTTTCCCTAACGTTCTTATCTTCCTAGTTTACTTTTCATTTATGGTTATGAATGGATTCATGAAGATCAGGTCAATTATTCTCCGCTAGAACCTAGTAATAGGAAGAGTTGTGTGTGAGGGATCTTTCATAGACTAATCTTATTGTTAGTATTGGAATCTATTGTTGGAACTATCCATGTATGCACTGTTGGATTAAGCTGGCTATCTTTTGAACTTAACTTCTACGCATGTGAATTAACCTAAGCTAAGTACCATTTAATATTTATCTTATCGTTCAATTCTGCATAAGATCTTGCTAATTATTGCCTCTAAATCTAAAACGTGCAAACTTCATTAAGAAAATCATTTTCACATGGGATTGTTTCACATCAAACAGCCAGCCAGCCAACCAGTAGGGGTTAGTGCAGAAATTTATCTATATAACTCGAATAAACATGCCTTTTTCTATCAAAGGGATTCAAACGGATTCATTATAAATCAATTTAGCAGAACATTTAATTAAGATTCTCTCTATAAATGTAATAATATAATTGTATTAATGAGGTGGAAATTAGCCATTGGTATAAGCCTTATTATATTCCATAATGTCTATATATATTGGAAAGGCTGTAACCTGTAGGGATAACAAAAAGAATTACTTTCTTTCATTCCATCTTCTGTTTCTTTTCGTGTTATGCTCTGTTCTTCATGGTATCAGAGCCAGGTTCTCCATGGCGGACACAGCAACCTCTCATCCCAGTGAGCAATCATTCATCTTAATGTCCGACGATCTCCAGATCTTTCCGGCACTCAAGTTCGTTGTATCGAACATCAAAAACATCGTTCTGATACAACTAGCGTCGGACAACTACACTGTCTGGAAGTTTCAGATTCTAAAAATCTTTCGTGCATACGGGTTTCTCAGGTTTCTTGAACCCTCTCTTTCGACATCTGATCAATCTTCTTCTCAAATCGAAAACCCCTCTACAGCTATTTCGATTTCAACGCAATCACTTCTCACCGACCAAATCCTCTCATCCACGCTTTGTTCCACTATATCCGCCTCCATCCTCCCATACGTGGTTCATCTTGAATCCACTACAGCCATCTGGACACTTCTTGAAAACAGGTTTCAATCCAAGAACATATCAAAGATTATTCAACTCAAGAATAACCTGCACAATCTCTCTCTCAAAACTATCGTGGATCAAATAGCTGGAGCTGGATCGGTGGTGGACACTGAAGACATCATAATGTATATTTTGAACAGGCTTCCTAACTCCTATCAATCCTTTAAGACAATTATCAGGACAATGCTTACCCCAATCACACTTGATCAACTGTACCCTCTCCTTCTTAGTGAGGAAATTAACTTGGCATCTGATGCTGCTCGAAGCACTACTTCTGCTGATCAAAATCTTGCATTATACTCGATGAGAGGTCGAGGACGTCGCTCCAGAGGCAGAAACAATTCGAACTCCAGTCGCACGCCCACATCTACAACAATTTTCTGCCAGATATGCCTCAAGAGAGGACATTCGGCTCCGGACTGCTGGCATCGCCTCAATCCATAGTATATTCCGTCGACTGGCAATTGAAACCACTCATGTATGCAAAGTAAGACTTAGTTGACTATTTAATGATCTCAACCTCTCGCATGTGTTTAGACCTAAGCTATTTTATCACCTTAATGTTATCTTATCGTTTACATCAATAGAGGTTTTTTGCTTAACATTGTTCTCTAAAATTTACAAGTGCAAACTTTCTTAAGCAAGTCATTTTCGCATGGATTGTATCACATCAGTGTTAGAGTGTGAGGAGAGGAAGAAAGAAGAGGTCATATTGTAGAATAATTCTTTCACTACAGTCCTATGTTCTAGATCTGAAAGAGTAGGCAAGAGGATTGCCTTTTCTTTTTCTTGCTTGGCGATGCACAACCTTCACCCCACTTCTGATTGCTTGCCTTATTGCCATGCTCACAATATTATTGATTGCTCACACGTTTCTTTCCCTTTGCTGCATCATTTTTCACTTAACATCTTCATTGCACGTAAGGATGCTCGTTGCCTTAGCGCAGGCAGCGCTACTACACTGCTTGTATTCAAGAATATATCATGGAGTTGGGTTTAAGAGAGATGAAGATGCTGCCCTCGTTCATTAAGTGCTTATCCATCTGCTCTTTTACCATCTTTGTAACCGATCTAGAACTGTGTTTGACATGAACAGAGGACATCGTTTTTTACCTTTTTTTGTGCATGTTCTTGTTACCTGATTTTTATGGGACGTTTGGAGTTGGGGGAGGGAAGTCTATTTTAGATTGACTATGTATTCATGTTTTACTCTTTTTTGGCATCATATACAATATCTCTTTATTATTTTTTATTTGATTTTTGTACATGATACAATTTATTTATAAAAACATACGATGATACAAAATATAAGAACACCTTCTTGGATATTTCGTTGTTCAAGCAGATTGGTAGATTCATTAATGCTTGATGATCATGGGGAAAACTTAGTTATGTCCAGATTGTAATGAGCTAAACAAATGGTATTTACATTTTAAAAAATTGTTCCAGTAGGCTAAAATCTGTTTTATTGAGGAAACATATAGAACTTTCCATTCATTACGGGTGATTGCAGGTCAATTATGCATGTTTCTTTTGATCTATTACGGCTGTTTTTGTCTGCTATGCAGATTCTGCGCATATAAATTTTTTTTAATTAATAGTTGCTTATGCGGTTTTAATTTTGTAGGTTGATATGATTGTGGTAACAGATGGCAGTAGGATACTGGGTCTTGGTGATCTGGGGGTTCATGGTATTGGCATTGCTATTGGGAAATTGGATTTATATGTTGCTGCTGCTGGAATTAATCCTCAAAGAGTTAAGTTCATATTTTTCAAATCTTATACGCCAGGCATTATGTATACTAATCTATGTAAAGTATGAAATTATTTTTAGGAGCTAGTTTCTGATAATTCTTCTTGCAGCCTTATAAAAGGCAGTATAGGAATACAATACCACACCCATGCAAAGTATTGGTGTTAAATTAATAGGGATGTTATGTAAGAATTAGCGAGTATTTCAAATGATGTAATACTAAATTCGGTATAGCGGGTGCATCTATAATCACCTCTGACCAAGAGAGTGCATCGTACCCTCTTTATCTGTTGGTATAATGTTCTCTGCTGTCAGTCATATTCACTGCAGAATTATCAGGGCATGACATTGGAATTTATTTTCTCCTTGGTGTCATTTGATAGATGATTTTACTTTGACCTAAACTATGTCTGAACAAATGGTTCTCATTTCTTCCGATTTGTTTGATTCTTAACTTGGTCTGCATCTTAGTTCACCTCCACTGTGAAAAAATTTGCATCTTAACTTGTAAAGTTGAATATATATATATATATATATATATATATATATAAAGAGAGAGAGAGAGGGGGGGACTAAAATGGTCCCAACAATATTAAAGAACTATTATGATCCCTCAAGTCTTTAAAAATGAATGAAAATAGTTCCGTAGTGGGACTATTTTGGTTTATCTTTAAAGAGTTAAAGGACAAAAATGATTCTTTAACATAGTTGAATACTATTTTGATCTTTCATAAAGAGTCAAGGGATCATTTTGTTCTTTTTCTCTCTCTCTGTATACATGTGTGTGTAAATGTGATCATATTAATGTTTTGCTAAATGTGCCTGGTACTGCCCTTTTAGATATTTTACAAGTTGGTCATAAAATTTGTTTGTTGCTTCTCTTTTGAGCTGTTAGGTGGCATTCAACATATTTGTATTCAGTTTTCGTTTTAATTTCTTTCTACTTGCTTCGCTTGGTTTTTAGTGTGATAAAGCAAAGCATTTTTTGAAGATGGAATTGTTTTTGGCTGCCATTTCTCACGTCTCTGTAGAAGTTATGCTTTGCTTTCTGTTACCGCGTTTCATTGCTTTTGGTGATGCAGGTACTTCCTATAATGATTGATGTTGGTACAAACAACGAGAAGCTTCTCAAAGACCCACTTTGTAAGATTTCCTTTAGCACTTTTTGGCATAATATTTTAATACATTCATTTTTGTCTACTTTCTTTTAATAACTCCCGTCTATTCTTTCTTTGCCGCCTGTTTGAATCTTTCCTCTACTCGACCTGGATGAGAAATAACCGCTTCCTTTTTTATTAATTTGTTCTTCAGGGTTTTCTCCTTGAACTTGTGGCTTCCTATACAACATGACTACGTTTGAGGCTTGGTATTATTATAAGGACAATCATTTGACTGAACTTTTCTGCAGTAAAAGTGAGGTGATTGAGCACGTACATGAAAAATAACAAAGAATTAATATAGAAGATGGCATTATCACCTAGTAGGCTGTATTATATAACTTGTAACAATTAATATTAGAATGCCACTGTCTCTGTGTTTGACTTACTCATGTAGCTGGCTGGTGAAAGGAAAATGAGAAATGCATATTGTTGACTAAAAAAAAAAGAATGAAATAGAAATGAAAATGAATGAAACAAATAATGAAAAGGAAAATCAAACATATGCATCTCTACACGAACTAATCAACCTATTGTTGATTGGTCTCACTGACAATAGTTAAGCGCGAAATAAGACAACTCTTTGTTGACTTAACTTCCTTTCAATGATTTAGTCTAAGAAGAAGAAAAAAGAAGGAACTTACGTCTTCACTCACACTGCTCATGTCCAACGCCTACCGATTGCAAGCCTACCGTCGATCACAAGCCAGCCTCCAATCGCAAAACCAATCTCCCGTCTGCAGTTAAATCCCGCCATGTGAATCCCGTTCGCCTCCTGTTCTATGTGAAGCCCGTTTGCTTCTTGTCCCATGTGAATCCCCACACTACACGCCTCCTTACATTAAACGCCCTATCCTATCTGTCCGCACACAAAGCCAAGCCAATCGCCAGCTTCCGCCTCCGCCTTCTACTAACCGACCAAACTCCCTCTAGCGTCAAATGTGTCTGCTTTTTTTTTTTTTTTTTGTCTGCTATAGCCTAATTTAATCCTTCATTTTTTTTTGAGGATTCTACTCTCTACTCAAACACATATTGCATTACCCGTCTGCCCTCTCACGTGAACCATGACCTCTGTGATGATGTTCACTTCACAAGCAAATAGTAAATCCTTTGCTTAATTGCCTGCAACTGTCAGTTTGCACCAATGAATATTCCTCTTTATCTCATTTAAATGCAGATTTTAAATGATAATTTTAAAATGGTCATAAAAAAAAAACAGATATTATGCTCAAATAGTGTTTTTCAAATCAAATTTTAATTACAGATTTCAAATCAGATTTTATAAATCAAATTAGAAATTAGATTATAGAAATTAAATTTCAAATCTGATTTTATAAATCAGTTAAAAAAAAATCAAAAGAAGGCATCGCGCCGTCGATCTTAGATCAGTCGAGATGGTTGCAAATTGAAGACCTCGTATCGTCGACCTTAGGTCCGTTTGAGATGGTTTCAAGTTCAAGATCTCTTGCCGTTGACCTTATGTCCGGTCGAGATGATTTTAAAGCGAAGACCTCATGCCTTTGATCTTAGGTTCGATCAAGATGATTTTAAATTCAAGATCTCGTGCCGTCGACTTTAGGTCTGGTCGAGATGATGTTAAATTCAAGTCCTCGTTTCGTTGAACTTATGTCCGGTCGGGAAGAAAATAAGGGCAAGTGCCGCCCTGACCTCCTTGCGAGGGAAGAAGATGCCAGGTGGCTGCCGAAATTATCTTAGAAATCTAGAGGGGAATTCAATTTGAACAATTCAACTAATTTAATGAATTAATGTTTTATAGAAATTAATTGATTAATTGAGATTTTAAAATTTTCTACATCATCTAATGCATGAGACTTGAGAAGTTGCAAATACTTATCCTCTAGGCTCACTAATGACCTTTGCAATTATCATTGTATTTAAATTCATTTGACTTGTTATTAAGAGTCTATTATCAAAATTTTCATATAAGTCAGAAGGATAAGCATGTTCTCTCTCATTTTTTTTTATCATGCTCATTATCATTTTTCCAAATGCCATTTAGCATAAGTGAGAATTTCTTGGACATCATTTTAGTCCAAACAGTATTTTGAGCTGACTTAAATATTTTCAAATAAGACATCTCACTAATAAATTTCATATAGATAACATTGAGTGGAAGACTTTGAATTATTGTGGTATTTCAAATACTATCCCTTTTGAAATATTAGAGGTCTCCGACTGTCGAAACATCACATCTCTTTCTCTAGCTAATGAAGTAGCAAGACTTGTAACAAATCATCTCATCAATTAATTAGTCAAAATTAATTAATCAATTGAAATTAATTGATTAATTTTAAATACCATAGCATTTCAAATCCATGAGTAATTAAAAAAATTTGAGAGCAATGAAATTTATATTTAATTGGTTGATTAAAATAAAAAAAATTTGACTAATTAAATTAATTAGTTAATCAATTAATGTGGAGAGAGCCACTCTGTTGAATTTTCTTTTGAAAAACAAGAAAAGAAAATTATTATTTTCTACTAACCAGCCTTTGGTACAAGCTACACTAAAACCAATTCAACTCAAACTCAATACAACTCTCAAACTCTCCAAACCCCTGTACAGATAAACTCTCAACACAGCTCTCAAACTCTTCAAACTCATGTACAAACAACTCTCAACACAGCTCTCAAACTCTCCAAACCCTTGTACAAACAACTCAGCCAACTACTTTGCAACACAACAAATCTTAAGACTCTCCACAAAACACTCTGCAAGCTCTCCAAAATCTCTTATGTACGAGCTCCTATGACAAATAAATGAAATCAATTAAGTATTGAACTTAAATTAATCATAAATGCTAATGTAGAAAAGGACAAATGTTACAGTAAATTACTAGTACACAGGTGCAAGAAAATTAAACTACTAAAACATGAAAAAAAACTACTTTAGTACACTGGTGTCACACAATGTCAACAACTTGCTAATAAGTGTCAAACTAGTAAACAAACCGCTAGTAAACAACTAAAAGTTATAGTCTGGTGTCAAGCAAAATAAAATAATTGTTGTCCACTCAAACAAACAATCATAAATTCAAAGTTGGTGCATGGTGGAATGAACGATATCGATTGCGTAGAGAGGAGCGAAGACACCAGCATGGTTGCCGTCGTTCTTCGAATTATTTCTATGGAACGACCAAAATTAGACAATAAATCGTCTATTATATCAATTGAGGCATCCACTTGAGCTGCCCAAACGCGACGTCGATCGCCGTAAATCTCCCATCTTCTTCGTTGTCGATCATTGTAGATCGTTCATCTTTTTCGGCTTCGATCGTTGTCGACAGCCCATCTTCTTCGGCAGTCCATCATTCTTCACAAGCTCCAGGCTCTGATACCAATTGATGTAATGGATTGGTGGAAGAATTAGATTTGGTAGAAGAACACTCGAACAAGAGAACCAACAAAAGCTTCAAATCTTCAAAATCATATAATATTCAATACGTCTCCCCTTTTTCCAATATCTTGCTTATATAAGCTAGCAAGAACATTCTATAAATCATTTAATAAATTAGATAACATATTCCTAAAGCTGCATTTAGTTAAGATGTTTCTACATCAAAAAGCAAAGAAGAAACCTAAGAAAACAGTCAATTTTCTAGGTACACTCAGAAACATTCTACACTTGTATATATATGAATCAACCAAAGAACAAAGTGTAGAGAATGTCCAAATTATCACAATCAAATTTGACAGTTGAGTTGCCTGCCATTATACAACCCAAATAAATTATTACAAATTTTGTCTCTGAGTGTCTTCAAACTTTTGCTTCTAGGTAGGTCTTGGGCTTCACCTTTAGTAGACTCATCATCTTGATCCATGTTTTCTTTCACTATACCCCACAGGCTTATATACAACTCCTAAACCTATCAAATACATGTAAAAATGTAAAAGAATCAAAACATACAAAATATGTTAGGGAATAGGAGCAATTTATATTTACAACATGAAAAACACATCCAGAATTGTTTGGCACTGAAAATGCCAAGCCCCTATTTCTACCATGTTGGCCATGCCTCCTTGGGAGGTTTTCAGCAGTAGCTGTTAGAAAGCATTTTATTTATCATTTAGTGGGACACCTATAAAAAAAGCATGTATATATACGTCTACACTAACTACTTAAGATCAACTACTCACAATATAGACAATCCAAAAGGCTTCACACCAAAGCATCAATCACATGTGCTGAAAAGAAAAATCTAATCCTAGCATGCCTAGGAGTTGTGCACTTAAGTGTGTATGATTGTATGGCATGTCACACTGTGGAAGATATTTTATTAAGGAAAGAAAATATTTAATCTTAATCCAGGGATGATTTCTCTTTTAAGTTGTTTGTGACTTAAATGTTTTATTTGGCTTTTATGTATTTCATATTTAGGAGGGTTATGAGTAACCCATAAAGCCATCATTGCTTGCTTTGAGACGAATCTGCTACTTATGAAATCATAAGATACAATAATACAAGCGTTCCACCATTTGGGGTGGGATGGTTGATTATTATATCAAAAGAAATTTAGCCAATTTTAGAGTTTTTTTTAGCTCTCTTAGTGTTTGGATATGAGATGAATGTTCTCTTAGTGTTTGGATATGAGATTTACAAGCGTTCCACCACATTTATACAAAAAGCGGGATGATCGATGTCGGGTGACATCACAACCAACCATGCTTAAAAAGCACATAGGTCTTCAATTCTTACACGAGCAAATAACAAGTTTCTCTGGCGCGTTGGAGTTACGTGAACATGTACTTAGGTTTGTTGGTTTCACTATTGCATTGGACCAATGCGAACATTGAACTAATATTTGCATGTTTCCCCGCATGTTGGAAGAGTTGGGAAGGTAGCAGACCGACTGGGGTACTCTGGTGTGGAGATGTTGTTGGGAGATTAGAGTAGGAGGCGGAGCGGGTGTGAGAAGTAGATGTAGCAGGCTGAGGTGGGATGGGAGCAAGTGGGTAGAGAGGTAGTTTGGTGGATTTGTATGACCGACAACTTACGTGAGAGAGCTGGGAGCAGGGTAGTTCAACCTTTGCTCAAACTGAGGGAGAGCAAGTCATGATGTGCAGAGAAGGAAGGGAGAGGGCCGGTGAGTTGAGTGGGAAAATGAGACAGGCGAGGGAGACTGGTATGGATGTGTGAGAAGAATGGGGAATACGTGTGAATAGCAAAGCCAAGCATAAGAGTTTTAGATAGATTTTTTTTTTGGTTTCATGTGGACGATAAGATGAGACAGGCGTCGTTTAAGCAGTGGGTCGAGCTCAGGCAAATTTTGCATTTTCACTCATTCGGATAACTCATGCAATATAGGTTTCCTTTATGGGTAATTTTGACATTCCGGACGCAACGACGAAGGCCGTTTCATGAAATATATGTCATTCGGACAACCTCACACAACTTTGTGCCCATAGTTCTTTGTTTTCGCTCATGTCAATGCGAAATGAATACAAAGGGTATTTTAAATGTTTCACAATGACATAGTCTGTTTCATGGTCGAACGCCATTTGGACAACTTTGCATAGTGTCGCGCTTGGTAATCGTCGCTTTCATTGTTGTTATTTGATCATCTGGCATGTTAGTGGCTCTTATCTAGTAAATTCTATGCTTTAGTGCATCAGTGCAATCCGTTTTGTAAATGGATAAAATTTAAGTGATTTTGACTACAATTGAGGCATTTCAAAGTTTGTTACACACGACCTTATGTTTGTTAGCTATTGTACGTATACACTCTCTTGCATTGATTTTGGTGCTCACATGGAGGTCAAAACTCCTCATATTTGGGAATGCATGGGTAATTTGAGACTTTGCTCTAGATCTTCGTCTGAGACTTCGTAGGCAGACCTCCTCGCATTGTAAAGTCTACTGCATTCATTCTCATCCCATTTGGAGTCCTGCCTCTCGACTCAACCTTAGCTATGCGAGGACAGGCATGAGAGCCTCATCGTCTAGGCTAATAAGTTCTTGAAAGATGATTATAACCAATAAAGTTTTATCAACAACAAAACTGAAATGCTCAAAATACTCTAAAATCATGCTCCACCATGACTTTTGCCCTAATTTTGTAACATTGCCGTAATATTTAATATGCAATTTTGCCCTAATTTTGTAATACTGCAGTAATATTTAATAGGCAATTTGGATGGAAAGCAATGTTTTGGTCCATGTTTAAAGAGCCTGGGGATATAATTAGGCATCTTACAAAGTTTGCGACTAAAATGGTTGCTTGCAAAGGGTCGGGTGACCATGTGGTCCTTCTCTCTATGGATTCTTAAACTATCATTTCCACCATCTTATGATAGACTTCTTATTGGCTCAACTCTTATATTAATATTACATAGCTAATGTGATTCCTGATTTTTTAAATTAAAGTCTCCCTGAAATTCTCTTATCCCATTGCACTCATGAGGCATTTCACAATTTTAACAACCCATCTTTAACTATGAAAGAAATGCCCGCATCTGAAACTTCTGCGTTGTGTTTTATTTTGATATATGTCATTCATTTAATTTTAAATATCTGCTTGAGCAGATTTGGGACTCCAACAACATAGGCTTGATGGTGAAGATTACCTTGCTGTTATTGATGAATTTATGGAGGCTGTTTTTACTCGTTGGCCCCGTGTCATTGTACAGGTGAAGTTGACACTGCTATCGGCCATTTCATTGATTCAGCAATATAACAAATTCTGATTTTTTAATTTGAGGACAAAGCTCACCTTGTTTCTCCCAGTTTGAAGATTTCCAGAGCAAATGGGCATTGAAATTGTTGCAGCGTTACCGAAACACATATAGAATGTTCAATGTTGATGTCCAGGTAAACCTTGATGATATTCTCTTTTAAGGGTCATTGAATGAGAAAAGAGCCGAATTGGTCCCCTAACTTTTTTTTTTAAGGACAAAAATAGTCTTCAATTATATGAAATTACCATATGATCCCTTGAATATTTAAATAGGATCCAAATTAGTCATTCCATAGGATCCTTTAGGTCCTTATTGAAAAGGTCAATGAACTAAAATGAGATTTTTAAATAGTCGGAGATAACTTTGGTCCTTCGTAGAAAGTTAAAGGACTATTTTGGTCCTATCTCATCTCATCATTGAATTACCCATTGGCAATTTATGACAGCTTATATGTTGCACTGCTTTGTCTCAAAATTCAGTAAGTGTGCCGTTTTCTTCTTAGCATGTGATGTCTGTTCCGATTACAAGGGAAAAGATAAGCTGGCAATAGGCTGGGAAGTACGAAACTGCTGACAAGTTCAATTGTTAAACAGTTTTCTGCAGGATTACATTTTTTTTCTTTTTTGAATCCAATCAAGACCTCCCTTTTGGAGGCAAGGGGTAATGTCACTGGGCCATATGCCCTGTGTCAGAAGTATGAAAAGTTGTAGCTTTTGCAAATTATATCTTTCTTGTATGTAAAATTTAGTACATCTGGATAGTTGAGTTTATTTCGTCTAATGCCTGTCAACTTTTGGGTGTTAAACCGGAGCGCATTTGCCATGTGCTTTAATGTATAAAAGCAAAGAAGTTTTACAAACTGTTGATTATTATATATCAACATTTGTATTCCAGTTATAGCTACTTGCCACATGTTAATGCTTTTGCTGAAGAAGTTGATCATGTTACTTTTAGCTTTCACAAACATTACCATAACTTGAACAGGGAACTGCTGGAGTTGCAATTGCTGGTCTTTTAGGTGCTGTTAGGGCACAAGGAAGATCAATGATAGACTTTCCAAGGCAAAAGATAGTTGTTGCTGGTGCTGGAAGGTTTGGTTTATTTGCCATACGTTATTCAGTGCTGTGTGTGATGGATAAACATCGAGCAGTGAATGATTTGTCACTTGCAGCTCTTTTTAATTATAATAAATCTATCTCTTCTACTGTATGCTTGGTGGCTATAACCTTTGACATTTGTTTTCACAATATTGATCATGCTGCGTTAGTTTGATATTTATTGATTTTAAAGTGTTAATGAGATGAATAAATATGATATCAGCACTTTTAGGGAAAGATAATGTAGAATTTGATTGATGCTTAAATATTTTTGAGCTAGTAACCATAGGAAGTATTTCCTTTTCTAGGCTGGAAATTTTTGGGCTATTTTAGCATACCCCTTGCTGTTTCTTGAAGATTAATTATATTTACCTTTATTATTGGTACATCTTCTTCAAACTAGTTTTCATACTAAAATTACTTTAAGTTTATTTTTGCTAGTTTATCTTCAATATTCTCTTTAACATAGTAATCTCGCTCTCGATATTTTCAAGTTTAAGCTCGCATCCATCACAAAACTGTAGTTTATGCCACACTCTATTTGATAATCAATGACTTGTACTACCCAACTTTCTATATAGCAAATCAATCAAATTGATGTATAAAAAATTTCTTTAGTCTCCATGACATTCTAATGCAATAGTAATCATAAGATACTTATTTTAATCACACAATTTTAGATTTAGAAGTTTTTTCCTCATATACGTCCTCATTCTTTTTATAATAAATCTAAGATATCTAGCACAATTTTGTATCATTTGATCTTTTGATAATATTGACTAATTGTTTACTTATACATCTTCTATGCAGTCAAGTCTTCTTTTAATTATCCTGAGCATCTTAACGTTTTAAAATTTCTCCATTGTTCTAATTTTTTATTTTAGAAATGATTTTGTATTTAAAAACTATGACATTGATCATAACATGTACCATGCAACCTCATTTTTACTATATTTTGTAAGCATCTCATAAATAATAGAGAAGGAAATGGAGTTAATAACGAGTGTAGAGTAACTTCTATTTTGATTGAAAACTCATTGGTAATTCCACACTACTAATGTTTGTCGCTTTTCTAGAATTAGTAATTAATAATACTTCATCCTTTCTCGGATATGTGTTTTTGTTAACCTATTACCCCCAAGTATCATATGATTGCTTCATAACATGGACTAATACTTATTAATTTCACATTTATTAAAGTTATGGATCATCTTTTTAATAGAGACTGTACTAATCCTAAGTTTCTATCTTGTAAAGTTTCCTCAGTAATTTGAAAATTTCACTACAGAATAGCTCTGAATTATTAAATATCATTTGCAAATAGTAGCCATAAGCATTTTTATAACTCCTTAAAAAATTACTTAAAGATAATTTTGATCCTTAATGTAACCCTATGATTATTTGAAAACTTAGAGACGGGCTCACAACTACTTTTAATGCTATTTATTATCTGATCGTATGTATTTCTAATTATTTTATCATAACTTTTAACACACTTATTTCTCACCAAATTAATTTTGTAATAGTTGATCATATCCTTATTCAATAAGTAAAAACATATGAAGTTATGTTTGTTGTGTCATGATCCGACCTAGAAGTTTGGAATACTTAGGGAGGAACAAAATTTTGGACTATAATTTTAAACACTTTCAATTGACATCACAATTACTTCTAAAATACTCTTGAATATTTTCAAACATGTAATCATATAGTTTCAAAGTGCTAATTAAAGCATACAATTATTTTTATAAATAAATCATTAGATGCACCACATATATATATATATGTGTGTGTGTTTAAAAAAAAAAAATATATATATATATATATATATATATATATATGTGTGTGTGTGTGTGTTTGTGTGTGTTCTAAGTTTGCAAAGTACAAATCAACACGATTGTTTAGTAAAATACCCATCTCATGCTGTTACATATTTGTTCTAACTGTACTCTTCTTTCACCCATTTAAGTTAAAGAGGATTTTTCTTAAAATAATTATCAACTTTGGGGGTATGCTGAACAACAAATTTAGTTCTTAATTACGTTTATAGGCTACAGTAATTCAGGAATTGAAGACGGTATATATCATGGTCACTGAAATTAATTCTTGATCTTTTATGTAGCGCTTAACATGTAATATCAATAAGAATTGTAAGCTTAACATGTAATATCAATAAGAATTGTAAGCTGAACATGTAATACTAATATGAATTGTTAAGTATAAGCATTTGCAATATGACCAAAGATGGAAAAGAGAATTCACTTGCTATCTATTACATGTGTCTCATCGTAAAAATATTCCAAGATATAATCATAAAAAAAAAAAATCCAAGATATAATCATTGGCAAATGAAATAAGTTAAATTATGACTAACATTCATAACAATATGAAGATTTTGTGCATGAAAAGAGGTAATCTCTTTAGATATTTTCTAAATGTAGATTTGCAATAATAACAAGTTCGAGTGCATGTGAAAAGGGCATAATTAATGCTTCAGGTTTAGAAGATATGAATATAATTACTCGAAACTCTAGCTTGCCACTTATTCTTTGTATGTTGCTTCCCTTAACATGATACCTCTATGAACATAAGATTTTTGGGTCAATCTCTTTAAATATTCTTTTCAACACTCCAAACTCTCTTTATCATAATTTTTTGTCTCTTAATTATAATATTTGTTCTTTTCTTTAACTTAAAACAAAGTTATTTATCTTTACTTCCTTTCAAATATATAAACCATCATTATCCTTTAAATCCTCCTATCTATTTCTTAACATAATATTTTTATTAAATTACTAATTTTGACATTATACAATTGAAGTTTTACATAATTATACAAGTTCTTTTATTGTTACTATTTTATTTAAATTATCAATATATAATTCTCTTTACTATAGTTTGTGATAGGAAACACTTGTAGATCGCAAGTATTTCCTATCAATCTTCTCAAAACAACAAGAATCTTCACGAAAATCCGCACAAAAATCACAAAAACAGTAGATAATTTGTATTATTTAATGAAAGGAACACGGAAAATAGCAAGATACACTTGATCATTAATTCGAGAGGATGATCGATCTCTCCCAAATCTCTAGACACCGCTAGAGCCCAAAGAAAACCTAAATCTAAGAGATCTCAAATTTCAGCCAAATTCAAGATATGAAAACCCTAGGAAAATCAACTATTTAATGCATACAAATCAAAAGAATTCCCTAAACAGTCCCTACATTCAAATTTCTCTCTTAATCCCCCAAAAAATCCTTCCTAAAACGCTCTAGTTGGGCGGTCGGGCCGCTCGATCTCCGCAGGAGGCGGAGATCCCGCGACAATTTGCGAAGGGCCTGTCCCGTGTGGACCGGTCCAGTGGACTGGTCTAACAATAGTCCCCTCCCAAAGATCCACCTTGTCCTCAAGGTGGAAATATGCTCGTGTTCCCGCGGAGGTGGTCATCCTTGAGGTGACTGAAAAAACTTACTGTATTGCTGAACCAAGGGCTGCACGGAAAGAGAAACATTCTCTTCCTCCTCCAATCTGATCGCATCCAACATGTGTAGTCCCACCAGATAATCTTCCCCCACCTCTTGTATGTCCCTAACCATGGTCTTAAGTGATGTCATAGCTTTGGATAGCCCTGTATCTCCCCATATAACCACCTTTCTCCCATCCACCATTAATTCCATCGTGAGTGCTCCCTAATTGTCCTTGGTTTCCCCCAAGATTTGCAACCACTTCATCCCCAGGATGACATCAGTTCTTCCTAACTCTAGGGGGAGAAAGTCCTCCCTTATTTGAATCCCCTGGATGGTCAACACCACTCCTCTACAGATCCCCTGGCCTTTCTCCACCTGCCATGTACCCATCATCACCCCATAACAACCGGTGTCCATCAACTTCACTCCCAATTGGTCAACAACTTGAGTGGAAATGAAATTGTGGGTAGCCCCACTATCAATTAGCACCACCACCTCCCTGCCCTCTATCTCCCCCTTCACCTTCATGGTATGATTCGTAGTGAATCCAACCACTGAATTCAGGGAAACCTCAGCCAGATCCAAGTGTAACTTCTGCTTCCATCTCCTCCTCACCTCCCTCCTCAGTTTCCTCATCACCGCCGATGGTGAGAACCTGAAGAGTTCGGTCCTTGCACCGATGCCCTGGCGTATACTTCTCTTCGCACCTGAAACACAACCTCTTTGCCCTCTTCTCCTGCATCTCCTTCTCTGTCAGCCTCTTGAAATTTTCCCCACTCTCTCTTACTGGCTTCTCCCTGGTGGTCTCATTAATGTTGCCCGAGGCAGGCCCCTTGGGTGCTAGAAGAGTGGTCTTCGTCCTGTAAGAGCCTCCTGAGCTGTTGCTCTTAGCTCCCTTCTCTAGATTCTTCTGATTTTCCACCAGCTGGGCCAACTTCATGGCCTCCCATAAGTCACGAGGCATCAAAACCTTCACTGCTGCTCGGATCTCTTCCTTCAACCTCTTCATGAAGTTACCCTCCAATATCGTATCTGATAATCACTCCACCCTACTGGCTAGGTGCTCATACTACTGATCCCTTCTGTGCCAGAGCAAAGAACTGCTTATAGAAATTTCCTCCCTAGTCAGTTTGGAAACGTTCTATTATGCAGTCCTTGAATTCCCTCCAGTTCCTGATAGGTCTCATATGATCTCTCCACTGGTACCATGACAGTGCTTTTCCTTCCAAACATAATCCGGCTGCATTTAGCTTCTCCTCTTCCGTTAGCCCATTGAAAGCGAAGTATCGCTTCACCTTGTAAATCCACTCATACGCATCTTCTCCTTCGAATATGGGCATCTTCAACTTCCTCACCTTTTGATCCCCCCCATTGCCTCGGATTTTTCCATAGTTTCTCCTTTCTCAAGTGTTAGGTGCACCCCAAGTTTCCCGATCTTCTCTTACCCTGCCATAGCCCAAACCCCTTTCAAAATCCCCTCTTCTCCCTTCAAAATCAGCACCCCGACAGCCGTAAAACCCCTCA